GGAAGGAGAGCCAAATAATCTCAAGAGTCCCTCCAATAATTCTGTAACACGTTTCCTGTGGATCTGGACCTACAGCCCAGAGAGATGGGGAGGGGAGCTTTTGAAGGTAGCCCAAGACCCACACCCAGCGTGGTACAGGACACGGCCAGAGACACTCTCCTGGGAGATGCCCTCCCACGTACTGGCACAGAGCAGCATTCACAAGCCAGGGCATAGATACTCTGAGGGCTGCTTCCTCTCTGACTGCAGCAGCACAGCTGGTCTCTTGAGACATCTCTTGTGTAAGTTCCTTATTGCCTATGTAATAAAGTCAAAATCCCTGGCCTGGTCTGATCTCTTCCTACCTTTGCGCGCGCGCGCACACACACACACACACACACACACAGTAGAGTTTATCCAAACTTCCTCTAGCACACCCACTGCTTTCCCACATCTGCCCCATTGCTCATTCTCTTCCCTTGCTGTCTCATCTCAACATATCCTAGTTTTCCCCGGCCAGAAGTCGACCCTCCCTGCTCGGAATGTCCGGGGCATTGTGTTTAACTCTCATGCATTCATGAACACATTTTCAACTTGGATCAAATTGATCTTCCTTTTGTTTCTTAGCACTTCCTCCCTCCCTTGATGTCAGAGCCCACACACGTTCCACAAACTATGTAGTTGTCATTCTTATTTTTGTTATTATTATTATCATCAATATTTTTTCTAGCTTGTAATATCACATAGCACCCCTAGTGGTGATCTGCCTAGTCATTAGATAGTGGGAGACTCCTACATCCTGAAAGTGGCCCTGCAGAGGTCTGGGGTTGGAACAGGCAACCAACGCTCCAGTTTCTAGACCCCAGGGGGATGCTACACAGTCACATCTGACACCCCAGGGTATCTCTGTCACTTGGCACTCCTCAAAGGTGGGGACAGCAGTGAGTTTTCTCTGCAAATTCTTTGCAGCAGAGCTGACCCATTTCTCCCTCATGCCTTTCTCCTCTCACTTTCCTTACAGAGCGATGGATCTGTGTTAAACTGCCCTTGGCATCTCCGCAGTCCTCCAGGAGGACTGCAGCGAGGCACTGGGCGTTTCCAGAGTACTGGCCTGCGGGAAGAGGGAACGGGCTTTGGGATTCTGATTAATTTCCTGCTCTGCGGACAGGCAAATGGCTGTCCTGAAATGCCTGGGCTGATCCTCAAGGGCCCCGAACAAATTAAGGCTTATTTTTAGAATAGGAAATTCAAAAATGCTACTTCCCATGAAAAGCAGGCATGCCCACAGGATTGCTGCAGACAGAAAAAGGGACTTTTATTGAGTCCATCCTTTGCCCTGATTCTGATTACAAGCACTGCAAACCCATGGAAGAGAGAACGTAGGACTTAAGGGGAGGTTCTGAAGACAGAACTACCTCCCCAAGATCCACGATCTCATCAATCGCTTATTCATTCATTCACACCAAAGCTTTGTCACAGGACAGATCAGGGTTCAAATCTCAGCTCCACCACTTACCAGTTTGTAACCTGGGACTTCCGAGTCTCTGTTCCTCAGTTTCTCATCTGAAAAGTGGGAATAAAAATAGTACCTATCTCCTATGGTGGCCATGAGAATTAAATGAAATAGCATGTGAATGAGCTTAGTTCAAAGCCTGGCACCTAGTTCGTACCAGTATGTGGTGGCTGCTATTACTATTTCCAGATGTCCTCCCTGTAAGGCCTCTCATGAGCTGTCCTCTGGGCTGCAGGGCTAACTAATAGTCCTGAGCTCAAGGAGCTCAACTGTAAAAGGAGTGAGGTAGATTTTCACGAACAGGGAAGGAAATGTATGTAGCCCTGGCTGGTGTGGCTAAGTGGGTTGAGAATTGCTCCGCAAACTCCAAAGATCACCAGTTTGATTCCATTCAGGGCACACGCCTAGGTTGCAGGCCAGGTCCCCAGTTGGGGGGCGTGTGCAAGGCAACTGATCTGATTCATGTGATGGATGTTTTTCTCACACACTGATGTTTCTCTCCCTCTCTTTCTCCCTCCCTCCCCCTCTCTCTAAAAATAAATAAATAAAATCATTAAAATAAAAAAAAGAAAAGAAAAGAAAAAGTATCTAGTGGGTATTGTTAAACAATGAGAGTAAGTTGCAGAATTACAAGTGTAGTAGGATCCCGTGATTATAACTTTAATATATGCTTAATGCATGTATACAATATAGAGAACTAAATAGGAGGCTTTCACCTTTTTTTCTTACTTTTTAATTGTGCTTTTCTGCATGTGCATGTGTAGCAGGAACTCAGGAACTGTTCTTACTCCCTTTGTATTGAATTTATTGAGGTGACAATGCTACGCAGCAGGAACTTCCCAAAAAGACTCTACTAGATGCTGAGAGGGAAGGAAGGGCCTGAAAACACAGCTACCAGCCCCATCAGCAGTGGATACCTGAATCACAGCAAGTGCCACAGGTCACATCTCGCTCTTCACGCCATTGCAGGGAAAGCGGCTACCCAGAAACCCTCACCTTCTACCCACTCCCGCTCCTCAGCCCTTAGCTGCACTTGAGCCTTCAACGCTACAGCCAGAGGCAGGACTCCTAACAGAACTCCCAGGATCCATGGCAAAGCCAGGAGGAGATACTTGTAAGCAGGAAAAAGTTTTTCTGCTCCCTGTCCCCTGCCCTTCCCCACCTCCCAAAGAATAACAACATGTCAGCTTCTTGTGCCTGCTGGGCCTAAATCTGCACTTTCCTTTTCCTCATTATATCTTTGTGCAATTTAAATTTTTTAAATATTTTATTTTATGTTATTAGAGAGAGGGGAAGGGAGGAGAAAAATGAGGATGAGAAACACTGACGTGAGAAAGAAACACTGATTGGTTGCCTTCCCTATGCACTCCAGGGGATGGAACTCGCAACCCAGGCATGTTGCCCCCACCGGGAATTGAACTGGCAAACTTTGGGTTTGAGGGACGATGCCCAACAAACTGAGCCACACCGGCCAAGGCTGCAAATTAAATTTTTTATAAGGAGGTTCTATTACTTAGTCATCAGGAAAAGGGAGTTGGTTCGCAAACAATAAAGTATAATATTGTGGTTGAGGCCGGTGCTAAGGCTCACAGGACTCGTAGAAAGTGAAAGTGGAAAGGGACAAAATCACGCTAAATTCCCCCTGCTGTCCCCCAAAAGTCGTGATTTTAAGTCAACTCACATTTCAGGCCACCCACCAATGCCTATATTTCATTCATTCATTCAACAAACATTCATACCTCCTTTGCTATAAAACAATCATCGTACTGGACACTTTATAGTTACTACCCCATACAGATTATGGGGCTAGGAAAACAACACTCAAGGAAGTAAAGTAACTTGCTCAAAGTCTCACATCTAGTGGGATCCAAACCAAGACCTCGACAACATCAAAGCCCAATTCCTGAAGGACGTGGGCTGAATTACAAAGCCAGTGAGCTGTGCATTCAGGCAACCATGATGGCCTGGGTGGCCTTGGGCAAGTCACTGAACTCTTCTCAGCAGCGAGTTCCCCATCGCTAGCGGATGAGGGCATACCTGGATATTTTATATAAGTTAAGCGCTTTGTAAGTTGCAACGCGTAACACAAAAGGTCCTTTGGTCAGCTCTTCCAGGACTGTCTCACTCATCTTAGGGTCTCTTGGTGCTTTCCTCATTACTGTGTATCCCCGTTAGGGTTTACCCACCCCCGCCCCGGCCCCCACGCCCATTAAAGCATTTAGGAGAGTCTTCCTTGCATGAACTCATGTTATTCCCCACACTAGCCTGGGGCCTCCTCAAGCACGGGAGTGATGTTTGTTCACTTCTGACCCGTCTGCCCCCAGTGCAGTGTCTGCCATGCATCCCACCATTCCTTTACTCCTTTATTTCATAACAAATGCCTGAGAGCCTAAGATGTGCCAGGCACCACACAAACTGTAAGACAGCAAAGGTCTGGAGAGACAAGACAACATGAAACATAATTAATTACTTCATAACAATTGCATTAAGTGCCAACAAGTTATCAAGCCAGGTGCTACGAGGTCTTCGGGGATACAGAGTGGGGACCTAACTCAATCCGGGACACAGGGAAGTCTTCCTAAAGGAGGTGGCCTTGAGGCTCAGAGAGGTTAAGAAATTTACGCAAGGTCACACAGCTGGTAAGGGGGAAAGCTGGGATTTTTAACCCAGAATGCCTGACTCCATTGCCCCTGTTCCACCCACTAAACAACACTCCTTTTATCTCTTCCATCTTATACTTCCCTGGCTCTTATTCATGAGAGGGGAGCAAAGTCTATCTAACACTGACTGCTCCGATGCAATGCCTTTCCTAGCTTTGGGGTTTAGGGGCCCCCTTTGAGAATCTGATGAAATCCATGAAACCTCTCCCATAAACTCAGTATATAAAATGCACAAAAGTCATGCCTGCAATTTCAGTGGGTTCATAGGCATCCTGAGGCCCAACTTTAGAACTCGAACCGTGGAGGATCATAGGACCTTAGAGTGAGATTCTCAGAGCCTCAGAGAGAGACACCAGGGCCTCATGGGGACCTCAAATCCCCAGACACGCCCCAGGATCCTACAGAAAGATTTTCAAGATCCAAGAGAAAGATCCTGGGAGAGGCTCCAAGTCCTCCAGAGTAACAGCAGGGCCCTGCAGAGATGCTCTCAAGATGCCATTGACGTGAAGGAACCTCAGGCTCTCTTACAGCAGGGAGGAACCTGCAGGCCTTGGGAAGCTGTGGCTCGTGACCCTTTTTGGGTCACTGGCACCTTTGAATCGCTGAAGAAAGCAGCAACACACAACACGCTACACACAAAACCAAGGGGTTTACCGACCTCTGGGAGGCCATCAATAGCCCCCAGATTCTGACCTCCTGTCCTGGAACTTCCACAAGAACCTGACCCCCCTGAACCCTCAAGAAGCTGCATCAGGACCACAGACTCAAGGCACAAACTTTAGAGTCCAGACAGAGCACGGGTTGATCCTGGCTCTGTTGTTTTCTAGCCATGACCTTGGACCACTCACCTACAAACCCTCAGGCCTCAGCATGTCATCTCCCAAAAAGAGAGGGTTGGACACCTCTCCCTCACCAGCCCAGCCCCAGGGGCGTGGGCTCCACGCCGGAGGGCGATGGCGCCTGTAGGACCCAAGCTCTCTGCTCCGACCGGCCGCCCAGGGATCGGGCTGCAGCGCTTCCACGAAATACTACTGGGCAGAATGCGCCAGGAGCGCGGGCGGGCGGAGGGGGGAGGGCGGTGCGTTTGCCGCAGTGACAGCTCCGCGCCGCAGCCGCCGCCGGCCTGGGAAGCCGGCGGGGCGGCGAGCTCTCGGCCTTTCCCACCCACCCGGCAGGGCGTTCCCGCCAGCCGGCTTCCTGCAGTCGAGGACGGGGGAGGAGGGACGGCGCTGAGGGGCCGCGGGGCCTGGCAGGCCTGGTTCCTGGCTTTCTCTCCGCGTTTCCTGAGCAGTACCGGCCGGGGGATGGGACCCAGCACAACCCTCCTTCCCCGGGAGCGCAGCCAGGAAGCCGCGTCCTCGTTAACTCCGGTTCCTCCTCCTCGGTGCCTGAACAGTGCTGACCGCGGGTCCGCATGCGACCCCCTTACCCCGAGAGGAAGCTGAGAGACCAGAGGGCAGACCCCCAGGACCCCACGACACAGCAAGAGTCCTACCCCACGGTGTGAGTTTATTAACTCCACCCTACGAGTGAGAAAACTGAGGCTTTAAAAAATAAAGCGACTTACCAAGGTCATCATAAAAACATTACTGCCAATAAAATAAAGTACTTACTACATACCAGGCAGGCCTGGACTACAAATGCTCTAAAACTATTTGATCATTGAGTCCTCAGAATCTATGAAGATAAATATTATACCTCTTTAATAAATTAGAAAAATGCCCTGGCTGGTGTGGCTCAGTGGACTGAGTGCCCCCCTGGGAACCAAGAGGTTGCCAGTTCGAATCCCAGTCAAGGTACTTGCCTGGGTTGTGGACCAGGTCCCCAGTAGGGGGCATGTGAGAGGCAACCACAACCACACATTGGTGTTTCTCTCCCTCTCTTTCTCCCTCCCTTTCCCTCTCTCTAAAGAATAAATAAATAAAATATTTTTTAAAAATAAATAAATGAGGAAACTGAGGATCAGAGAGGCCAAATAGCTTCTCCGCCGTCACACAGCCACAGGGCAACAGAGCTGGGAATTAAACTCCAGTCTCCTGTTGCCAGAGCTCAGACCATTCTACTCTCCTGCTTCCCAGATACTCTGCTTCAACTCATTACAGTTGAGTAACCTGGGGGCAGCATCTTGTCTCATTTGTTCCTAGGTCACCAAAGGCCCAGCTGGAACTTGGCACAAAACAGGTGCTCAAGTGCTCAGAGATGACCATGGAGCCTAGCCCAGGAGCTCGAAGTTAGAACTGGTGGGAGGTATTTAGCCTGACTTCTTCTGGAAGCTTTAGCCAAGTGAAAATTCAGCCTCTGCTTGAATACTTCCTATCACGATGAACTTTCTCCCTCCCATAATGGCCCATTCCCCTGCTGGACAAATATGTTTGCTCTAAAATATAAACACCCCATTTTCCCTGTAGACAAAGGAAGACCACCATACGTGTTGCGTGGTGTCCTTAGACATTTCCAAGGGTGGGTGGCACGATAATTTTAAGTTCCTTGTGAGCCAGAACAAAGTCAGCTGTTCACAAAGATGTTTCCCTTCCGTGTACAGAGTTGTTTCGGAGAAAAGCAGCTCAGACTATACTTTTTCCACAACCCCTTGTAAGTAAGTATGTGACTAGTTTCCACCAAAGGGATATGGGCAGAGAAAATATGTGCCTATTCAGGCCAAATCCAAGTTAAGCAGTGTGTCTGCTTTCTCTAAACTCTCCCTTTTTTCTCCCATCTGCCAACTGGATGCCAGCGCCAGGGTGACCTTGGAAACCATATGCTGCACGTGGCAGAGTCCTGGTCAGTCTGGGTCTCACTCAGCCACTTGACTGAACGGGGTGTACATTGAACTAGATTCTATTGTATTTAGGCATTGCGATCTCAGGCTTTCTCTATTACAGCAGTTAGCATAACTCAACTAGCACTGGGACTAACTTGGGTTCATTGTTGTATCTTTCATATCATGGAGCACAGTGGGGATCATTCAAGAGATGCTCTAAAGACATCCATCCAGCACCGACTGTGTCCCACTGGCTCAGCTGGTCAGAAACAGTCTCTGTTCATCTCACTGGTGCATTATTTCCTGCCTATTCCAAAACGGGTTTGAGGTGGTTTCCATTGCAGCCTCAAAGCCTATTTGATGGATAATTAAAGAGAAAGAATCAAAGACTAATGAAAGCCTGGACTAAAGGCCAGTGGAGAAGAAGAGAAGAAAGATGAAAAATTGACTAACTATAGCAGAAATGCTAGGTTAAGTTTTCTAAGGTTAGCAACTGTGACAGAGCAAAAACCGTGGTTCTGAGTTTCCTGGCAGTCAAAGCAAAGAGGGAAACAGGATGAGGTACAGATTATATGGGAAGTTGTAAACATGTGATGAAACATAGATCCTGGAGCCAGACTGTGTTTTTTGAAGCCCCGCTCCACCACTTACTAATCATGTGACTTTAGGCAGTTATATAACTTCTCTATGATTCTGTTTCTTCATCTGAAAAATGGGGATGATATAATAATAAACACCATCTCTTAGGCTCCTTGAGAGAATTAAGTGAGTTAAGGCATATTTAGTTCTCATAACAGGCCTGTCACTTAGTAAATTCTGTGTAAAAAATTAGCTATTGCTGTAGCCTGATTGGAAGAATCAGGCCAGCGATTTCAGAGAGACAAATTTTTCCTGGCACTAAACTCTCAGATGAATGTATTACATTCGTCCCCTTGGACTGCCCCTCCCCCCCAACTAATACAATGTACTGTGTCGTAGCAAGAGTTTTATGACAGTTCCTGGGCCCTGTGTCATGTGGTTATTTTCCTTATTGGTTTTTGGACCAGATAAGCTTTGGCATCCTACTCACCAGGGAATTCTGGGAAGAAGTTGCTGGAATAACCTAGGGCCCTAGGTACCTTTCCGCTGGTTGTCCACAGGGCAGGTAATGTCACGACTAGGAGCAAAGGGGCTGGAGTTCCACAGACCCAGGTACATTTGTTAGTCTTTTCCAGCTACAGTGTCTTCACTTATACAGTGGAGACAGTAACAAATAGTACCTGCATAAGAAAGTTGCCATGAAGATCACAAAAAGAATATACACAAAACACTTTCCATAGTAACTGGTACTGTAGGGTGATTGCACTACACAAGCACCCACAAAATAAGAAAGAAAGCAACAAAATAAAACAGAATCTCACCAGAGACTTCCAGAGCAAGGAGATTAATTTTTAATGCTTCAAAATGTAGAAGAGAAATGGTACATTTCCCCCAGAATGTGACCCTGGGCTAACCAAATCAGTATTCTTTGCTTCTGGCTGGAACTCCTTTGGCCTAATTCAGTGTGGTATACAGCTCAGGCTGGCCTGTCTTTGGAGCCACGCTGGCCTGGAGCAAGGATGACCCTGGTGCCACAGCAAAAGAGTCTGTCTCGGAGGGGGAATTGAGAAAGCTCCCCATTGGGTTCCACGTGCTGAGTGGAAAGTACTGGAGTGAGTTTCATGCACACTACCTTGTCCAGCCTCCACAACAGCTTCAAGCGGGGAGCCCTAGTCATAATCACATTTGACAGTTGAAAAAACTGCGGATCAGAGAAGCAAAGTGACCTGTCTTTGGTCACATAGCTAAGAAGTGGCAGAGCTGGGACATGAAAGAGATGTGTGATGTCATTATGTGTTTCTAACCATTGGGCTACACTGCCTTCCTCCTCCAACCTGACCTAGGATCTTGCCTCTCTCTGTAGCCAACCTCTCTCTTCCTAGGCTGTCTGCTTTCATCAAAGATCCTCTAGGAATCACCTAATGCTGGGCCACCTACTCCTCTGGCCTGGCCCCAGGGCAGCCCCTCACCCTATGGGAACCATCTCAGAGCAAGACAGAAGTTATACTGAGGGTACCTCCAGCTGATCAGAGGCTTTGAATGGATGGAAAGTCAGACCCCACTCCCATCACCCAAGTCCAACCTGCAGCTCTTATTTATTCAGCCTCCTTGTGGGTCTCTCTGTCTCATGCTCCCACCCCGCCCCCATTCCTCCCCACACGAAAGCCAGAGTGATTGCCTTCAACACGTCTAACCAAGTCATTCCCCTGCAGGATCATCTTCAGGAGCTCCCTGTTGCTCCCAGTTTAAAGTTCAAAGTCAATAGTTTGCTGTAGTCCCTGAAACCCAACCTATTTTCTCCAACCCTCTCTTTCCTCTCAGGCATCCTTGGCCCCACGGCCCCACACAGTCATAGTTCCCAGCCCGAGAGCTTTTGCACGTGCAGCTCACGGTGTGATGTAAGATGAACAAATATGTGGGTGAGCTGCCAGGCCTGAGTGGGGCTGTGAGGCTGTCAGATTCCATTAACCTCACCTTCCTGCCACCTGAAGGAGACTTCTCTGCCGGGAGGATTCACCTACCGTCCACCTGGCAAAGGAACCCGTCAGGAAAGGAGCATCAGCAAACCTGGCTCTTTGGAGAACCCTGGGAAATGATGACCTTACCTTACAGCCACTCTGAGTGTCAGGGAGGCGACGTGATAAAGTGGCCGCTGGGTTTCCTGCCAAGTCTGTGTGATACCTGTGTCCAAGCTTTTTTTTTTTTTTTAAGATTTTATTTATTTTTAGAGAGGGGAAAGGAGGGAGAAAGAAAGGGAGAGAAACATCGATTGGTTGCGTCTCATATGTGCTCTGTCTGGTGACCAAACCGGCAGCCCTGGCATGTGCCCCCACTGGGAATTGAACAGACAACGTTCCCCTTTGCTGGTTGACGGCCAACCAAGTGAGACGCTCGGGTCAGGGCCTGTGTCCAAGCTTTTAACGGTTACCATCCTTGGTTGAGGCAGAATCCACCTCTGTATGTGCATGTAATGCATGCAGTTGCCTTCCTGCTGTCCAGAGCAGGCTGCCCATCCCTCTTTCCCACTTGCTAAGGAAAATTACTGGGACCCAGGAAGACGCCCACCCACCTTGATTTCTGCGCCCTTCACTGGTGCTCCTCCGCCACCTGGTGGTCACATGTGGAATATACGGGGATTTCTGACGACAGCTTTGAGGAAGATGGCCTAGGTTTGATCCACTTAGCAGAATTCTCGAGGGTGGCGTTTTCATCTCAGTCTACTC